CTATAGTGGCACCTTTATTTTTAGAGATTGGAGAGCTAGCTACTCATTTTACTTTCTTTGTTATTCAACATGTAAGTAGATCTGCCAACGTACCGGCCCATCTATGCGTGAAGCATGCTTGCTCGCTGATGGTCACCGAGAGCTGGACAGGTTCTAGTCCTTCTTTCCTACTCACCAGCCTCTTGGCTGATGATGCTAGGAGTTCTTTTGTTAAATAAAAAGCTCTCAATTCGAACGCAAAAAAAAGACATGCAAACGTGTGCGTATGCAGTTGGCACTGGGTCTTGTTAGACATTAAAGTTGAGGAAGGAAAAGTTGAATTACTGGACTCACTAACTAAAGAAGATAAAGACTACACCATCGTGAAGGGGATAGTCAACAGGTAATTTCAATCATTATTAACTATATCTCGGCCTATTAATTATTAGTTTGTCATTTCCTGATATGAATTATTTAATAACCCCTTTATTAATTTTCTTTGCCGGTGGGCAGGGCATGGGCAAAGTTCATCAAGGTGACTCCAAGCACGTGGCCAAAAAAGTTGTTTTGGCATCGACCCAAGGTAAGTAATTAAGTAGTACTAGCTAGCTACCATCCCTTTAATTCTTGTTTTAATATCATTAATTAATTATTATGCTTGATTAATCATTATCTGATTCAATTCCATTCTCGTAAAGACCCTGATGCAGGCGCCGGGGAATAATTTGTGTGCATACTATGTTTGCGAGAACATTCGCATGATGACGTGCGAAAGGAGCAGATTTGATAGACAGGACTGGGTACGTTTGTCAGAACACAATTCACACCATTATCGATATCTAGTTACACAACTAACACACATGCATATATTGATCTCCTTCTTAACAGTTCAGATCGGTGCGGGATAAGCTCCTACCATCGGACCGCATACTAGCACTTCAAGAGGAAATAGCCAGATTTTTGCTCGACCAGGTCATAGATCCCAAAGAAGAATACTATTACCCGCTACCGCCCCCATGAACCACTTGTCATCGTGCTCCGGAGGCACCAAAGGCAACATATATATGTAGGAGAAATTGTGTATATGTATATAGATGTGTATGTGTAAATAATTAATGGTGTTGGTTTGTG